AAATGTACCTACATAAACTTTCCCATGAATACCATCAAATCATTGATCTTGAAGGGAATCTATGTATGCATGTACTAAGAAAATATATGAGCAAATTAAAAAGTCGATGCAATTTACAGTCGAAAAGTACAGTTTTTGTATAGATTTCGTACTGAAGGATCAATTACATTTCCCAACACTGTGCGACATGCGGGCGCCACCATAAACAAGTGTGAGCTAAAAGTGAGAGTGCGTTAGTTTCGTCGTTTGTACATGTTTTGTTGCTATAAACGACGAAAATCACTAAATTCACTAAAATCACTCAACTGAACTATTGGTGCTTCTTAGTGCTCCTACTCATTTCGGCATAACTAATTTGTTGAATGGCTCAATGAGAGAATTGGGCACTACACCAATTCATATCAACAGAGAACTTAGTCATTGTACATGCTCTCGCTTTGTGTGCCGAGCGTAAAATAGTGTTATTTAGTGCAATGAATAATATCCACTAACACTATTTCTTGTGTTATTCAACCAATTACTTAGAAACATGAATAATTGCAGTTCCCTGCTACAGGTCGGAAAACTTTATAACATTTGCAAACTACTTGGTGTTATTAAATGCGTGTTTATGTAGCTGAAAGATTCATTTTTCAAAGTGACAAGAATAAAGGAAAATTTCTTGCATGGAGGATGAGCAGCCATCTGTTAAAACTGTTATAATAGCTTGTACATAAATAAAAAATTTCATTCATCTTACGAATACTTATGGGAAAAGGTATCCAAATTTACACTGAGGAAAAAAATGACGTATCCCTCAAAATTTAAGGCGAAAATGTATCCAATTGGATACATGTTAATCAAAACGGCAACACTGCCTCTTACCCTAGAAATGGAACCACTTCGTAGCTCGGATGAAGCGCACAAAGTCTTTTATACTGGCTGAATCCAGTTCGGCCATACATTCAAAAGAATAACGGAGGAACGAGCATCGACGAGCTCTCGCCTGAGCAGAACAGTGGCATAAGTAGTGCTCCATGCTTTCGATTTCCTCCTCATCACGGCAGCTACGACACTAGTCGTTTGACTGCAAACCCATTCTAGTCGCGTGGGTTCCCATCAGGCAATGCCCGGTGATAACTCCAATAACATGTCGGAGCAGTGG